CCCCCCCCCCGGCGCCCCAGCCGCGCCAGCACACATGGACTTGCACTGAGAGCAGGCGGACTCCGGGCCCGCATCCCGGCTCCTCCTGGATTCCTTTGAAGCCGACTGTATCGCACCGAGATGTATATTTGATAATTGTACATTGGGTTTTTTTTTTTTTTTTCTACTCCCCTTGTCTGTGTGGTTCCCCCTTCGCCGGCACTAGTGCAGGGGAGCCAGCTCCGTCTCCCAAGGACCATCGTGTCCCTTCCCTCCTGGCCTCAGCTGCCACTGCCTGAGGAGGCAGTGAAGGGCAGGACCCACTTACCTGAAGGATAAAACGTCCTGATCCTGCCTGGCCGCCAACCAAAGGCAGGGCAGGCAGGAGACGGGACCTGATCTAACCCCGCTTTCACACCTCGGTGCCCGTGTCCCACCCTGTACTTGAGGGACATGAGAGGGGCTGCGTTCTCCTCCGTCCTTTATTCAGCACCGGGCCGCTGGGTTTATACACAGTATAGAATAAACAGGGGGCCCCTCCGCCAGCTCAGCCGCCCCGTGGCGAAGGGCAGAGTCATTACAGGCAGAAAGCGAGAGCCAAGAGCCTGAGAACAGGGAGGTGGGGGAAGCTCGCAGCCGTTAAATAAACCTCTTGGCCGTGGGGACGCAGCTGAGCCGGGGTTCCCATGCCTGGCCCGGGCAGGCGGTCCCTGCTGCCCTCACACCAGTTTAAACAGTGACAGGAGAGACTTTAATCATTAACGAATCACGCTAAAGTTTACAGCGAGTGGTTTTTCCTCTGCATTAACCTGCTGGGAGGTATGGAACTGCAAAGTTTCCTCCAACGCCCAGCCCGGCTCCCCTGAGGGCTGCGCAGAGCATTCGTGGGGGGGCCCCCAAATCCCCAGTGGCGGAGGGGAGAGCCCCCCTGCACTGCTGGGTGCAGGGGGACGCAGGCGCAGAGGGATGGGGAAGGCAAAAGCAGGCAGGGGAGCCACCCCGCGCCACAGCTCCGCCCTGCAGTGGGTCAGGCATGGGGGGGACGCGACCCAAAGGGATGGGCTGGAATGCCCCCCCCACCAGTGACACCAGTACCACAGCTCTGCCTGTCCCAACTTGCACCCCCAATTCCCTGGGAGGCTCCTTACGCTCTCGCATTCCCCTGACGTCCCCGGTCCCCCGGGCACACAGGAAGCTAACGAAGGCAGCGAGGAGAGAAGCAGGGAGACGCGGAGGGGGCCAGGAACTGGCTGCCGGGCGCTGGGAGTTCCCAGCTGGGTGCGGGGCTACAGGATGATGCAGGGGGGGCGGCTGTTGGTGATTTTCTCCAGCGGTTCCCCATTCCTCGCTCTGCGAATCGCTTCGATCAGCTGAGGAGACAGAGGGGAGGGGGTCATGCTCCGGGCCGGCCTCACCACGAGGTCTGGTGGGGGAAGGAGCACTCGAGGCTGGGGAATGCAGCAGTTGGGAGCGCTTGGAACAACGCGTGGAGGTCAGGCAGCTCCACGGGCCCAAACGACAGCCATGCCGAAACCGTCCCCACTCTCCCCACATGCGCAGCAGCTCAGCCTCGTGCTGTACCGCAGCGGGAACTGGAGCAGGTCCCG